CACAAGAAAGCAATAGACTCGGTTAGACATTTCATARTATATTATAATACWCCTAAATTAATATTGTTTCTATACMAACAATGTTTTTATTTAGTATTTGGAAATATRTAGTTARCAATAAAATTGTCTAGTCGCACGAGTGTCATGTCATTTACTACTTTTATATTATGGCGTCAAAACGGTTTGAGATTAAATCGGTTTTAAATTCTTAAACTACATATTGCAAACGTTTTAACGCCATCATATAAACCCACTAATTATTCAAAGTACTTGTACTTACTCTATAATCTGTATCCGTATGTGAAGCATGAATTAAATGAATTGGCCTACTATCCTTGGTTTCCGATTAAATAAACTATATATACTAGGAAACACAGTATATCTTTCCCTGTTGGGAAATTTAGAGTAGAAAAAAATCTATAATACCGAGTGAAGAGGACCTGACAAAGAATCCAACGAAACAATTATTATTTCTATTTTAGTCAAAAAATGTACAAGTATAAGTAAAATATATCAGGCAATAGATTAACCATGGACACTCTTAAAGTTCAATGTTAATGGACTCACTAAGCTTTGAAAGCATTTTTAAAAATATATGAGTGTTTAATAGCTCAATATGACCCATAAAAAATTTGGTTAAAATTATGTTTTTAAATAAAATATAAGAAGAGCTTTTATGGTTTTAYTTGAATTTATTWTTTCAGATTGGTCTTTAACTAGTTGGTAACTTTAGATTTTTGATAACTATTAAGTAGGGTGATGGAAGGTGGGCATCTTGATACGTAATGTAGTTTGATTTTTTCACTACTAATATGATTATTAATGATGAAGTTAACTTGTTCTTAGTTTTATTTCTTTCGGTGCAGCATATTGTTATTTAAATATTATATTATTGTACGTATATATTATTGGATAATCATTATATTTTGAATTTCTTGATTTTKTTGAAAATTCATCCTGRTAAATATCTAGATAATACTACAATATATTTACACCATAAATTAATTTACTATATATCTGTTTAAAATCATATATATATCAGTTCTCGCTTGTTAGTGAATTGGAATAAATCGCTTACTTTACAGTTATTAATTTATTTCATTAAGCATATTGTGTTTTKACTTGTCAGCATCTTAGCTTTATCACATTGGTAATTAGAAGCACTCTCAGGAACAAATCGTCATCAACATTAAACGCAATGTGTACTTCCTTTTGACACATTGATCGGCACATCCGAGAGACTAAGTTTAGTTCCGTTAAGTTAATTTCATGCGTCGTGAATTTTAGTAAAACGTTGAATACAAAATATAATATATTTGTTGCATAATAATAAATAATAATAAATTATAGTCCAAGTTTAAAAAATCTACATTCAAATAATCGTTGAAGTTTATCTCTCTCAAACTTGTTACCTTTCGATTCGATTATTTTAAGTGTCTTCTTTATTCGAATTCAAGTTTAAGTAAATTTTTAATTTCCTATTCCAACCTACCGACTTTAATACAAAAAATGCTTAACTAGATGTGAGAGCTTGTCGAAAGACTTTTTGATGAATTACTTTAAAGCAAACATCTTGTAAAACCAATCTATCATTGACATGTATATTATATTTATATTTACTGCTAACTCAAAAAATACGAATTATTCTTTCTTTGTCAATCAATAAATCAATGAAACAAATAAAATATAGTAGGTTTTCCCTAAAAAATAGAATTTTTTCACTTCAGAAATCATTCAAATATGAAATCATTGTAGTCGCATTTTTATAATTTCTATAAAAATATAAAATATAGCGATATATTAATATGTTATGTAGTTTTGCACAAAATATATCTGCTAATAACTTAATTTAGAGACTAGCACAAATAATTATAATAATAATACAAAAACATATTTTTATAAATTGTACAGTTAGAGGAAGAGGAGCAAAATAGTGAGGTAAAAAATCTATCTTATTATTATTGATTAAAGAAGGGCACTGCAGATAATTATATCGATGAGTCGTATAATTTCGCGTATTTTGTCACCAAAATCAGGTAATGTGCACGCTTTATTAAGATCTAATTTAAATGCGTGTGAAGAGAGAAGATTACGCCCGAGACATAATCTAGTAAATCTATCGATTATGTCTGTGCTTAAAGGTAACACGATTTGGTGGGTACGAGGAAAGGAGGTATGACAGCTGTCTGAATACATTTGCATGCGAAATCGGTTGCAGGTCGGAACGATTTGATTCCTAAAACGTATAACGCTTATAATGAGCGACTTAGCTAGTATAATATTATACYACGGTCCAAGGTTATTTTACGTTTATAGACCGGGTGGCGGGTGGTTGTCAGGAACTCAGGAGACCCACGAAAATTGGGAGGAGAAAAATTAATCCTGAAACCGGGAGATCTAAACTGTTATCGAGTGTGTAGAATAAAGCTCACACGCGTATTAATATGCGCGTATATAATAGCATTAATATGCAGAAATGGTAGGTCATTTTTGTCTTTCAATTTTTAGTTTATTATTTTAATGATCTAATCGATTTACCGCTGGTAGTTATTTTTGAATAATCGATCAGACAAAAATCGTGGTAATTATTATATTATAAAGATATCGACAAACCTTGTATCGATTTTGGATTTTTGTACCCATCGAAAATTTTCGCAAACACACTTAAAAGCTATTTGAGTTAAATATAAAAAGATGGCTCCGCCATCAACCCATATTATCAAATAATATATTCATTTTCCTCACACTTTCGATAGTTCAATGACTAAAAAAGAAAATGATCCATTTACCATATCCATACACTTTCCAATAATTTATACCTTTCAAATCCATGAGGATATAATATAATACGGTACACCGCTATTGCAATAATACCTTTTATCGCTCGAACTCATTCGCTTTGTTTCGCATGCAGTTATTATTTTCGATCTTCCGAATATTGCCTTGACCCCCGTGGGCTGTGGCTAATATCATATTGAGATCGTAGGTATTCCGCATTAAAATTTGTCGTATAATAATATAGGTAATAAAATAAGTGCATTATGAACGATAATTTTATATCACATTACATGTAATATTATTATTATTATTGTCTGTRTTATAAATGGACGGTRGTCACTGAAACCTAAAAGTTCTTGCATACGGTTTAGCCCGATACTGCACGTCAGGCGCATTATAAATTATTATAATTATAATATATTATATCATATACTCKCCGTGGCGCCCACCRTTTATGCCACATCGTGTCATGTGAGTCTTATAATAATTAATAGTTGGTATACTCCTCGTTCAGAGATTCTTTGATTTTCGATGTCGCTTCTGCTGCCAATTTCTATAATAATATGTACCCCAAACGCGTATACAGTGTATACGCAAGGTTGAAATTCCGGAAAATATCGATTTCCGGTCCTCTGTGGGTGGCGAGGGTCGTATTTTTTCGTTCGTAAAATTGCGCAATCCCGCAGAACCAATCGGATTTTATATATTTAATTAAATACTGGATGCTGCGTRGACGTAAAAAATAACCTTTTTAACCAGAGGAATCCGAGACGAGCGAGTTAAAAATAAAAATAAAATCCACCTTTATATCTGCACAATATAAGAGACAATATATGCATAATTTTCAACGTCGACGACATAAGTGATTTTATAGTGTTGACGTGGCAGAAATGATTATTTTAGGCGTATAACATAAAAATACATAGATAATCGATATCACTAAACTAATTTCTTTTGTCATGTGAAAACTTTTCATAATATATACAATTTTACTTTGAACATATTAATTAATATGTTTCATTATATTGTATAACTATTTAACAGATATATTATATGGTTTGAACCGTTTTGGTCATTTTCGAAATATATTAAGACATAAGAAAATTTAACAAATTTAACTGACCCATATTATATAATTTTACTTATATAAATCGAAACATTTATTTTAAACTTACAGCAGATTTATATGATGAACATAATGTCATCTTTTATCATAAATTATCTTGAGGTGCCTACACTTTATACAATAATTGCAAAAACAAGTAAATAAAACCACAATACAATATATAATAATATTGTCTTGTATAGTGCAATTTTTAATATACATAGATTTGATTACCTACCCGAAATATGCAATTGTTATTCAATAATGTTATACAATACAAGTTTTCAAATATTTGTAATAAAAATAGGTATTATATAATATATATATATATATATATATATGCACACTATTATACTTTTAGCAAACGCTAGTAACGGTTGCTAATAAAAATAAAGAGAAAATGGAACCTTTACTTCCAAAATCCATTTATTTTGTTGTATATTTACGCGATAAAATAGGAACTTAAGGAATGCTTTTCTATGAAGCATTTTATATCTAATTAAAAATATACAATGTTTCTAATATATATTTATTTTTATATGAAAAGTTAAATAATCGTTAAAATCAGTTAAGTAAATTGGACTTCGTGAACCAAATTCTCTACATTTTGTCTTAGACGGGTAATTATTTATAAAAGTTTAAATATACACACCCTATTCTGAAGTTATAGCATTTTGTTTGGTACCAAAAACTTGAAACTAAATTTCAAGGCAGGGGCCAAAGGTCTATTGTTATAAATAGCATTCTAAAGCCATTTTTATAGATTACTGTCTGCCGAGATTACCTTGCGATCGAAAACAATCGTAAGTTTTCTGGCGCCCATTTGTGTCTGAAGAAAATWATATATATATATATGAATAACACATATAACGTTGTATGCACTAACTTATGGATATACCAGATATATTTGTGCATAGGTATAAATAGTATACAAACAATAAATGAAAAAATATTTCGTTGGATTAATTGTTATACAACCAGTGTTTTTCGGTGCATATAATTTCAGTTGATTTAATATAAATATAAAATTAATTATGTTGATCAATTCCTAAAACTCAAACGATTTCCATTAAACTGAGAACATAAAACTAAAACAAAAAAAATCGAAAAAATAACAATGGCTCGTCTGTTGATTATGCGGGAGCTTGGGTAATATTATTCAAATACAATGACAAAAGAAAAGTTATTAAAACAAAATTGTCCAACAAGCCTTTTTCCCCCCCATTGATTGTATTTTAATATTAAAGGCTTTTAATTTTTTTCTGGTTCTATTTTACACCAACATTATTACTAGGAAAGATCAGCCAGTGTAACATATGAATATTTTATACAATGTATATATATATAATATATATGTATACCTATAATACATTATAAAGCTACATTATATTTGGATTATTGTAATTTACTTAATAGAGCGTTTCATTCCTACATTTTTCTTGTAATATTAAAATAAACATTTTGAGAAAAACAAATTGTATTAAGTTTAAAAAAATACCAAGTCATAATAAATTATTTTACGATAATATTCGAGGTAAAACATTATAATAAATAGTAATTCATTTTTTTTTTTAAATTATTGTATGTCAATATTTTAACTTAATTTTTTTTTAATTGATCTTTATATATAACTCGACAGCAAAGGCCATTAATTAATCTCCCTAATACTAATTACAACTTTTCCAATTTTTTTAAGTTTACATTATGTTACGTAACTTAATTTTATCKTAGTATTAATATATATACAGTATATTATACCATACACATAAAACGTTTGGCTGGCTTAATATACAGATATATTATTTAGAATTACTGCTTATATAAAAAAAAAATTTTTAATGAAATATGTAAAGTAGATATTGGTGCATTAATACAGTTATATGCAATAGGTAATAATAATGAACTAACAATGCTATACGTGAATAAATTGTATAGTTTTATTTCTTTGTCAAATGCGCGCACGTTATGGGAACTGTGTTCAAAACTATATTTCCCACAATATAAATTATAAACTAAAAAGGTCTGAATTAATTTAATGAATTAATAAGTGTACGAGGGTAAAATAACGTCTTTTMACAAACCCTAAAGCTATGGGATTGATTACATTTTTTTCGTTGAGATAAAAAATCAAGTATGGACTAATAATTGACTATATTATAGCGATTGTTTTTTATAGGTAACGTTAAAATTTGCTTAATCAAWTATTTTCTGTTTCAGGCGAGCTCATCTCAGAAACTGTTTAGAAAAGCTGAAAGAAATGGTTCCGCTGGGTCACGAATCGTCCCGGCACACGACTTTGGGCTTGCTGACTAAAGCCAAGCGGTTCATAAAGGTAATACATTTATATAATTGCCAGTCCCGTGGTTACTATCTGGGGACGTAGTTTTTAAAGAGAAATTTTAAACCCTYTCGCCATTAATAGGTATCATGCGTATATAATAGGCTCGAGAATTATACAGCTGCAGGATCGCTCAAAGGATTTTTAGAGTACCTTTGAKAAAACTGCCTGGTGACCACATCAAATTGGCCCGCACRTATAATCAACGTTAGCCAATAATGATCGTATTTCTCGATGTAATGATAAAGGGTTAATCTGTACTCTGCGCAGATTGCAGAGCCCATAGRCGAGGGGTTGGAGTAATGGAATGGCTACGGGCAAACAAGAGTCGGTGGTATGAAAGGATGCGATGAATATCTATGCGTGCATGCGCGTGTTATTGTGTGCGTGTGTATACTTATATAAGGGATTAAACGTAATAACTATGGATATAATGTAAGCTATTGGGTGTTTCGAGGGAGCGTTGTGAGGGTAGCTGCAGTGTTTGTGTGTATATTTATAGGAGAGACAGTTTTAATGAAACTGGATGCTGTTTTTGGTTTATAATATGCGGCTGACTTTTACACACATATAATAATATATAGGCACGCAATACGTGGTTATTATATAATATACATTATACACAACGAAACCAAACGCTTTCCTGTTAGCGGAGTAAGGTAACTGTTGTGTATGAAATATGATAGTGCCATATAGGATGTTAAATGCATATTACATACATACAAAATCGGAATGAATACGTTTTTCACGTCTTCCAATCACATTACGATGGAGCCTATATATACCAGTATAATAACACACACTCTTGAAGCAGTGCATAGAATTATAAAAGATTTAAAAAATGATCTTCAAGTAGATATTTAAAAATTCCAAAAATAATATTTTTAATAACTGCGTTATTGAATAAAAAAGGGATAGATATACTTGGTAAATCATCCTATACATTGGAACCTATATATATACATTTTTAGTTATACTACTGTATAATATTGTACTGTAACTTTGTAATAGATTTTAAAAAATAATTCTTATTTATTTTAAGTGTTACACTCCAGATGCTTAAAAATTAAACTCCTCCATCACATATCTAAAGTTCATTATTTTGTGTTGGTTAAAATTTGAATGTCTTTATACTATAAAGCCAGAATGGAGGAGGAGGACCAATGCACTTGATGATAATTCTTGAAAGACGTATTGCAATTGTTTTAACAGCTGCGAACGCAATGAATTATAATGGATGTTCAAACCAAAATAAATTCAGAAACTATTTGATTTTTCACTGAAATGTTATCGTTGGTCCTTTAACACTACATTGCTTTTTATTTAGTAGATACAAAATGACTAACCTGAAACCAGTATGTTATACTTCATTTCTCTTGAAAGTATATAACATTAGGTAAACTCCACGTCTTAAACTAATACATACGTTCCTTGCGTTTAGAATAATTAAATCTAATGAAAAATCAACTGGATTGTGATTGAATTTATCAGTTTAAATTTTTATCTTTATTTATTTTTATGTATAATAGAAAAATATAAATCGAAATCGTTACATATTAATCCCAGATTTTCCATTTCCATATAATGATTTCACGRCGTAATTATACGAGTTTATTTAACTTATAACATCGTAAGAGAGGGTTTCGTGAATAATTCAAGACTAATGGTTTTTTTATACTGCACGCTATGTATAGTATACGTCCCCAAATAATAATTATTACAACGAATACAATGTCACATATTCCCCTCGCAGTTATCGACGTGACGTCATGGTAACACTGTGTATTTTTTGTATTATTATTTTTATTCATTCAAACCGTTTAATTGTATACAATGTCGGACAAAAAACTAGTAACCACGTGTCAGATAATTATTTTGTGACCCCAACTCTAAGGGCATAAATAGAATKCTATTTCTATGCGATAAGAGAAAAGCTTTTACTGTCTCGCATGTAGCACCTTTAACCTGACTATACGGATGTGCTTTTAAAGGTGACAGTTTTGATGTTGTGTCGACTCTAAAGTGTCATTTTTTTCATTCTTTTTCTCTCGAAAGTAGTTTCACTAAAATAAATTCTTGAAAAACATTTTATAAATATATACTATATGAATTGWMGTTTTATCAGTATTATTATTTTTACATTTATTCTTTCTATGGTATTTTTTTCGTCCCTTTYGAGGGCATTGTCCATTATTTTGATTGCTAAAAAACCTGACATAACTCATTGGGAAACAATATCGTTGATATCCATTTTATAAATATATAATGTGTATAAAATATGTACGTTATAGAAACATTTTTGAATTGTTTTATATTTTACCTCTGAAAATAAAATAAAAATTATACATTTATTTTTTCTGCGAATTACTGAACATAATAAGATTGCACATGACGTATTCGGTATACCTACATGGCTACATATAGTTGTACGTACATAATTACATGAACATATTAAGTAGCTTCGGGATATTATTGTAGTCCGATACATTTGAATATTCAATTTCATCACACCACATTCTCCTTGGGTCAATAAATTATTTTGTACACAAAAGTCATATTTAATTCAATATCAGTATCGCGTTTCCTATATTGTTTTATTAGTAAAACATGGTATATCATATTATATGAATGGGTTTTCGTCAAAATTGACATACGTGCATTTTTTACAACTTTTCAATAGGAAAAAAATATTTTGTTCTTTATTAATTAATAATTAAATAGACCAAATATCAATTTTAATTGAAAAATAAAAATTTTTATTAGTTGCTAAATATTTTCAACAATTCCCTTTTAACAAATTTTAATATTTTGATAAAAAAAAAATAATATAGTATAAACACTTATATTAATTATATATTTTATAAATAAAAAAACAAAAGTTGTTAATAAAATAAAATAATTATTGGGGGTGTAGTTTCCGGGCGGATTAAGGCGTCAGTTGCGACGCGCACCGTCGCCGGTTTGAATCCCGGTCATGGGTGGCATTGTTTTCCGCGTAGTTCACGCAGTCTGGAAAGAGAGGCCACCGCCCCCCACCCGGGCATAGCAGAAACCTTATGGGTGCCCATTCGAAGTTCTGCCAAACATCCACGTGTTCCAACCAACAGTTCCCTCCCTCCCCCACAGTACCACAGGCTAATAATCCTTGCTATCGATGCTTCAACCCCAATAAAAAAATAATTGTTATTTATTTGTCACATACAAATGATGTTATTTTGTTGTATTAAGATAATTAGAGAGGAAAAATAATTTGYGATAACAATATTAACGTACACATTTGGCATCATAGTTATATTTATAAAGGTACCAAGCATTTATTAAAAATCACTTATATATGGTCTAAATACCGATTAATATATTATGAATATTTAAAAGTAATATTTAAAAAAAAAAAAATATGACCTCTTAATCAATAACCAGCGTGTCACATGTTTACATATTAAGATACATACCTAATACATTTAATAATGAAACTATTTTGATATAATATATGAAAATTAAGTTCCTTTTTACAAATTKCCATTAATATACATAAATATTATGTTATATTCAATGTATGCTATTTTATTGTGTGATTTAAAAAAAAAATTCTAGGTGGTATTGTGACYAAGACTCGTGAAAACTGACGACCCTAATCAATATAAATAAATTAGGTGCAACACGCGTGTATTCTATTATAATGTGGTTGATTCGTTAAATTAGTTGATTGTTTAATTTTTTTTTTTTTTACGAGACCAACCTAATTCAAACGCATTTATTTCGTGATATTTTAATTTATACCTTGGTACTACCTGTGTGGACCTATCATCTATATAAATTWCCATTTTACTTGCATATTTAAACACGTTGAACACGTACAATATCAGTTATCACAAAACAATCTATTTGTCTACCTATGTTTATTTGGGGTTTTTGTTTTTGCTTTTTCCCTATTTAATACAGCGCCTACTATATATTCGGGTTTTCCATCAAATTAATTGAACGACAATTTGTCAACAACCCGAATATGGCACGTGAATTATTCATTACCAGATATACACATATATTATAATATACGTATAATTAGAGCGTGACTTGTATTATTATGAATATAACACGCGAATATAATATGGGTGTACGTATATGATGCAGGTTAGGTGTTGTTTTGCGTAAGTACTCACGCACAACTCACACACAAATAATCACGCACAAACATTTGACATCGAAATAGCCTGTCGTTTTATATTTGTGCGAAAGGTCGTCGTCGAAACCTCACAAACGTCATAATATAGGTATACAAGTAGGTATACAATAATATAGAGACCGTGATTTATTAATTATACTCCGCTGGCGGGAAATCGAGACTTTCGATCCGCATTATAGAAAGTATGAAAAAAATATATATAAATATAATATAATATAAGACACATAACACATATATAGTAGGTAATATAATTATGCTTATATACATAAACTTTTGGCACGCGCGTGTACTTCATACGCATCCCGAGGATTAATAATTATTTGCTACTCAGCAGAGTTGTGTCAATAGARATGGAAGTGGCGGCATGCTAAGGGTTAGGCTTCGCCGTTATATTTATATAATATACACGTTTCGGCTGAACAAGAGACATTCGTACGGCATCAATCATCGAGGTCGTGGAGGTTATATTAGGGTTGTATATACAGTCCATGCAGTCGAAGCGCGACGTACATTGCTCAAATATATATTACATRCACACGGATCATATTTTTTATCGTAAAAAATGTATTAAATGTTGTCCTTAAATTAAAAAAAAAAAATTAAAGTTCGATGGTATGGTTCTTGGCTAAGATAAAAAAAATATATTTATCACTGTACAATATACCTATATCATATATGTCCTTATTGCGCACCGGAGAGATAGAAACTCGGGAAAAACGAACGTGCTTTTACCCCACGTTTAAGCATTTGCATACTAATTATTTTAATGTATAGAATATTATATTATTATTATGTCGATGTGTACGCATAT